ACATAGTTCATGTCATTAAACTAAACCAATGCAACACAATCGATTACCCATGATATATCGCAACATACTCTTTCCTAGGGCCCTATTTTGTAGCCACTTATCGATAATTGTCGGATAGGTGGACGTCGTTGCGCAGCTTTTCTATGGTATAAAAAAGCTGCGCAACGATGTCTACCGATCCGACAATTGTCAGTAAGTAGTCCCCTGTACTGGGATTCTGTAACTCGTTATTGTAGTTAATGACAATTTTGTTATCGTTGCGCAGCTTTTCTACAATATACAAAAGCTGCGCAACGATAACAAAACTGTCGTTAACTCCAATAACAAGTTATAGAATAGGATTACTGGTATTATTTATTCAATGCATAAACAGAGCAGTGATGCCATTTTCAGATTCGGCCCTTATAGAAATATCATACTAAGAATCATTGATAATTACTTATTATCCAGTTTTAATACTGAAGTTTTTAATACTGAAAATAAGTAATTATCAATGATTCTTAGTATGATATTTCTATAAGGGGGGTTGTATACTCCAGCGTGTGGTAAAGGACTTCCGGTTTCAAGTTTGCCCGATTCGGTTGATATATTGTGATCAAGTGTTATTAATCCTTCAATTTGTCATTATCACGACGAAATATCTGTTCTAGTCGATCCAATTTTTGGAGGCTTTATTTTCCACTAAACTCGTCGGATTACTTCCGATAGATTTAGCTACACATGGATTGCCTATCTAATCTCGCGTGCTCACTTTATTAACATGGATTCCGCCTATACTAACATTCCTGCGTCATCGGATTCTATACCTTCGATTATCATAGATGAAAGCTTTAACGTCAGTAATTCTTTGGTTCACGCTGACCATTTTACTGCTGCCTCACCATCGTGCGGCAATCTTCGCATTTCGAGCTCTTATATCAACGCTTCTCCCTCCTCCCCGCTAGGGAGATTTGATATTTGCACTTCTAACAAATACAGCGCACATAATTCAGAACTCTTCGAAGGTTACATCGTGAAGACCTTTGACTCCCGCAAGGACGCTGTGGACTCCATCAGCCGTCCGTATTGACAAAACCATCTGTCGACTTATTCCGGACATATGGAATAATGCCTATAATCTAAGGCATCTTGGCTCTTCCAAGTTCACGATTTCTTTCCCTGAGTTTGAACTCGCTAATCAGTTAGTCGACCAATTCAAGACCATCGGAGACTTTCTATTTCCTTCTATAACTTGGACAGCGTTTATCCCAGATTACCGCATATACTCTAAGCTTATTACAAGAGATATTAACTGTACAGAGACTCCTGAGGAAATCATTAAATTTTTGAGTTCGCTTCTAGAGAAGCAAAACTCATGGACTTCTTCACAAGTTAAAATTTTTGCAGAAGGATTAAAGACCTACAGAATAATCAGAAGAGCACATATATGAATTCCAGTCTATTTCTTATTACTTTCAACACTGCTAACCCACCACTTAATGCCCTTTACATGAGGAAATTAATAAGACTATCACCTTACATCCAGAAAGTCAAAAGGTACTTTAATTGTCAACGTTATGGCCACTTAACGGATCAGTGTCGTGGAAGTGGCAAGACGTTGTGAAAAGTGTGCCTCTTCTGACCACTCTATTGAGAGCTACCAATCTACTTCTCTGTGTTGCATTAATTGCACTAGACACAGGGTAAAGACAGTGTGCCACTCTGCATCTTTGGTTTCTTGCCATGTTTTTATTGAAAACCAAAATTAAGGCGAAAAATAAAAATTATTAAAATAAAATTTAACCCGGCGGATGCTAGAACCTACCTTGTTAAATTCGGTCATATGTTTGACGAAGATTGGTTTATTATCGATAACTATAATAGTAATTATAATCTGCCATCTCTATCCGAATTTATCTTTCCAAGTAATCTCGCTAATGTGTTATGGGCTCACCTCTCTGGATGTAGCTTAAGTTCAACTACTTCCTTCTCTTTATTCTCTCCTACTTCGATGGATCATTCAACTGACTTCAACTCTGTCACTCTCCCCAGTGCTGGCGCCACCAATCGTATTCACGACTCATCAGACTCACCAGTTTCATCTCCATCTAACTATTCTTCTAACTATTCTTCTGAATACTTTGCAGGCTCTTTAAAACGTAATCCTCGTCCAAAAAAAAAAAAAAAAAGAGAAAGGTTAGTCTCTTTTTCTGATTCTATTATATAAGAAAGATGTTCCTCG